TATTGCAATGCACTCTACATGTGGCTACCCTTGAAGAATATTCAGAAACTGCCGATGGTGCAAAATGCAGCTACACAGAAGTTCTTGGTACCTCTAAGGAGGAACGTGTTAACTGCTGTTCTCTGAGTGCACCGGTTCCCAGTCTGCTTCTGGGTCCAAATCAAGGTGTTAGTTTTTACTCTTAAAGCCCTTCATAGAATGATCCAGGTCATCTCAGGAACTGTCTCATCTCAATAAGATTGGCCCATCATGAACATATGTGGACTTCCTGCTGATGTCGCGGCAAGATCAGACGCAAGGAGTGGTTCTCCATGCTCCTGCGCCAAGTTTTCTCCATTGGAGGGCTCCAAAAGGAGCTAAAGCCATCTGTAGGGGTGGTGAAGGAAAGAGGGGTGCCCTGTAGGTCGGGGAGAGTCACAACTCTCCTGATTGATCCAGGGCTCTTCCCTCTTACTCTCGATGAGAAGAGGCAGGCATCATGGCTGCTGTGAAGCTAGGATAGCCAAGGCAACAAAGAAAATGAAGGAGTGGTGTAAATGAACAGTGATCAGAGCCAAGCGAGATTATTCTTTTGCTACTTAAAAATTTAACCCTAAAAGGAAAAATATCCAGGAAAGAGACTCTTAGAACTATTTGTTAAAGTGGTGAACAATTATTCAGAAAAAAATCTCAGACCCAAAAGAAAGGAACTAAGGGGAGAAATGCAATTTTTTAAATAAAATAAAATAAAACATAGAAAATTGTACTTCTAAGCTGGGTAGATGCTGTTTTGGAAAGGCATTTTAAAATGCTGCAACTTTTTACTTAAATAATTGACTTTGCTTCTACAAATTGAATTAAAATTGGATTAAATACCAGTTAGAATTGAGACAATGCTGAAACCTAAGTTGAGGGTGCCACCTACTGTTGAATGGAAAATATACTATACTCTACAAGCCTGGGAAAATTTCTGATAAGACAAATAAACAAATCTACCTGGAGACCTGTAGTAATACTTAATTGTTTTTTATTTATCTACTCTATGACTATTGGAGGCTCAACTGCGAGACCAAGGAAGAGATCTAATTAAAGCGACTTTTGAATATTAAGAAGTATGATTAAACTTATAAAATGGATTTAAGGAGACATTTGGAGAGCTTTCTGGACTACTTAAATGGATCTGATTAACTGTGGGACATAAAGAAGGATGACTACTGTACTCTCTGAGGAGCAACATTAGACCTGAATATATGGTTTTTGGACTATTGAGCAAGAGTGGGACTTACTAAAATAAAACAAGATGCTCCACCAGGGGGAAATGAGTGGATTTTTGGAAGAAATGACACTGTTGTTTCAAAATATTAAGGATCTTATGACAAAGAACTGTAAAGAGATAAAGAACCTAATGTATGGCACATATGGGAAAATAGAAAACATTCAACAAGAGACAATGAATAATGAAATGAAAGATCACTATGTCCAGGAAAGGGGGGAGACAACAGAAGGAATGGAGGAAAAGACAGAACAGACAAATCAACAAATAAAACACGAAAACAAGAAGGAGAAGACAATAAAGATAAAAATGACTGATGAAATAAAGCAAGGAAAAAGTATTTTAAGAGATTTAAAAATGGATTGGGATAAGCAGGATGATACTTTAGAAAGGGAGACAGGAGAGATAGGAGCTTGGGTAGACACTCTAGAGGCCTGGCAACATGAGATGGGAGAAATATATAGACTGAATAGTAAAGATATAGAAGTTGATAGAGACAAAGTTCCAAGAGAGAAGTATGGGAGGCAATCCAAAAAATTAATAAGAATTGAAGCATTAATATGGGCAAGAGATAATGGATAGAAAGGAAAGGTCTTTTAATATAATGGTGGACTGACTGAGGCCTATCTAAAAGTTAGAATAGAGGTGGAAATAAGAGATAGGAATATTAGTATACACATTTTTATATAACAGAATAAAAGTAATAATTAGATGGGAAGATTAGAGGTTGGAAGACAGTATTATGTATGTTCAAATAATATTGTGATTGGCATTAGAATGGCACATTGAAACAGTAAACAAATAATGAAGGATTATATTTTAATACAACATGCCTATTAATACTAAAATTATATGTTTGATTGTGATAAATATTATTAACATTATTATTTGTATCAAAATGAATGACACCCAGATGCCACACTATTCATGTATTGATATTGATGTATATTTAAAAACAGAAATATATATATGCAAAAAAAAAAAAGATTGGCTCATCGCATCCATGCCAGCAGAAAAGGCAGGCTGCAGATCTCATGGTCAAGAAATTCAAACTGGTGGAGTCTAGGAAAAGAGCCTTTTCTGATGTTTCTTGCCTTCTGGAACATCATACCCTGAGGTGAGATCCATATGGACTCTTGACTTTCTGAAATGGCCTTAAAATCTAGATCTATTGGTTGATGTAGGGTCTTAATAAGGTCCCATCATTCTAGAAGTGATTAATGGACTAAGATAAAACCCCATGTTCACCTGTTTACCTTGTTCCCTTCTTTCCCATCTGATTTTTAAATCAGTTGTACTCTTAATATTTGTTTTAAAGTTTTGGGTTTTTAAAAATTGACTGTAAACTACCACAAATTGCCTCTATGCAAGATGGGCAGCATATGCCTAATAAATGGTATTAACATAGTCCCTCTGAGTATTTTCCATTATTAACCCAAGTCGTCCTACTCTTTCTTGAGTTGGGACAAAACAATGCAAACATAAAATTTGCTTCTCCCACCTGCCAGTTGACAATCCTGTACTGTTTGTACTGTTTCTGTTCCAAGTCATTGCCAAATGATGTTATCATGATTTGGGAATGTGCTACACACTATATACAAGAGCACTTATATTCTACTCTGGTTTTGTTGTGAGTTCAACACACCACGATCCAGTGGGATAAATATCTTATCAACCACCTCAGCAGGAATGGATTAGCCTCCCACCACCACTACCTTGCCTCTCCCATTTCCCATTGGGGCATTTACCAAAGTTTTATTTATTTAAAGGCAAAACACAAAATATATGGGAAAACATCAAGGCAGAAATGGTTCCAAAAAAGAGGGAGGCAAGTTCTGTAATTACCTTGTTCAACAGACAGGGATAACTGAAATTGACTAGTTGCTAGATAATCATTTCTTACTATACATGGAACAAAAGAAGTTAATAAAAGTGACAAATATAAGGAAGCTGTCAAATAAAAGTTGCTGAACTATATAGATATTTGTTTTGATCAGTGACTTGATGCTGAGCTAAATTATTATTTTCCAGATGCCAAAAAGTAGGGATACCTGGGATTCTGTTTTAGAATGCTGATGGAACTGGAACAATGCTACTACAACCCATGTTATCAAATTTAATAAAATACTGCTCTCCATATCTTTTGGAAAAGTTTTTTTTTTTTTCAAAACACAGAAAGTGGAAGAAATCATCTGTAAAAGTACAGAAAGTGCTGCTGAGGTGAGCAAAATGATAGAGGCACGCTAGTGATCAGAAGGGCAGGAGGATGCCTGCAACTCCCAATGTTCCCCAAACACCTCTCAGCTTATAAGTGTTTTTCCCCAGTGGGTCTATCAGGACAACCTGGTCTACCCAACTATGGGACAGAGCATACTGCTTCCTCTCGACTTATAGTTAGAACAGACCTCCTGATCTAGCCTCTAAAATAATGGCTGGTAAAGCATTAAATATAATAATAACAGTAAACACTGAAACACAAGAAGGGTTAAAAACAAAACAAAAAAATATGCTGGTTTTCCTTCAAAGCATTACATTTACACACATAGCTTCAGGGGGTGTAATAAGTAATGCTAACACTGTTGGGGAGGAAACTAGTTTTATATAGGTATTCTTCGGTTACTGACAACTTAGGGAGATTCAAATCATGGACTGGGGATGAGATCAGACCTATTTAGGAAGACCGGGATTGTCAGTACCACATGGTGGTTCAGTGGTAATACACAAGAAGGGACAAGACTGTCTCAAGGCAGGGGCTTATTCTCTCAAAGTGAATTGCCTTGTCAAGGTGGATTTCAGCTAATCTGCGCAAACCTTGCTTTAACCTCTTGTAATTTAATTTATATGGTTGTTTTGGGGACTTTAATGTATTAAAAGGGGGCATATTGGGGAAATGGAAACCTTTCCATGTTCCAATGCCAGATGTAGTTCTCTGGCTTTGGCATCAAAAGGATGGAGTTGTTTTCTCACTTCAAATGAGGTCAGACCTGATTTTGTATTAAGATGATTGGGGACCGAAATAGCTGTTGATATTTCGGTTAAGCTATAGTGGATTGTTTCTACACTCAGGAATAGTGAGATTCCCCCATTTAAATTCCTAGAGCCCCACTTCTATTTTGATGCTCCATCTTGGGGGAATAGCAGCCTTGAGAGAAATGATGCACTGTTAAAAAAGCTTCTGCTCCGAAGAGGAAAAGAGGGAAAAGGCGATAGTGACATGCTCGGGGCAGCAATCCTGCCTTCCAGTCTCTGAGCTTTTCATTACTAAAAGAATTGGAGCATCCTGTAAATCGGCGGCAACTCCCTCCCCTTCCCCCAACTTGTCCGAGCCCAAGTTTTGCGCAGCCATATTCCTACAATTTTCTCTGCCGCAAAATAAAAAGGATAGGGAAGAAAGAAGCAAGGAAAGGTATTTCTTGTCATTCACCACGAAGCCTGGGTTTTGTTATACATCGCTGGCTAATTTTTCTTCCTCAAGCCTTGGGACGCCTTTTTCTGACTGATCTACACTCCATCCTTGGGAAACGGCACTTGCTTTTGTATTGGATAAACATCCTTCAACCTTATTATTGACTGCATATTTGCTTCAGATTGAGGATAAGAAGTATAAGTATAAGAAGTATAAGAAGATCAGAATCTTCACTAATACCTCTTCCACCAGAGCCTGGAGTTGCCCCTCCTTCCCAGGCGGCGTGCATCGGCCGCTGCTCCTGCTATGTGTTGTGCAAGAGCAAGCAGACTGTTGCCATTGGTTACTGCCTGGGCCTTTGCGTTCCATTCTCGCAGCCGCGGCTAAGCTCGCGTTGTGCGGATCCCTCACTTCTTCCCATAGGTTTGTGGCTCCCCAAGAAGCCTTGCAGCTGAGTGGGTGATGGTGGTAGGCACAGGCAAGCTTCGACAGGGAACTTTGCAAGCGGAACAGGCTCGGTGAGTTGCGTCCACTGCTGCAGGTGCAAATAACTCCAGGATCAGAAATAGTACAATCTGGATTTTATATTCAGATAGTGTTACTGTTTTGCGAAGAGGAAGAAGGCTTTGGGACAGCGATGTAACAAGACCTGCGGTAAGATTTATGGGGCAGGCACTTTCGACAGCGTACTCTAATTGCTCATTGACCTTCCTGTCTCGGAGACCCCAGTCCTGCCAGAGAAAGGCAACTCGGAGAATGGCTCCGGAAGATCGGACTGGAGACGGAGCTCTAATGGAGTGATGATCCTGTAGGAATTTATAGCCCTCCCCGCTTTAAATATCTACGTGAAAATATGGGATGAGATCCTTTGAGTTTGGTAGTTTAGTTAGAAAATTGCGGTTCTCCAATCACTCAAGTCAAACGTGGAATGTCCACCTGAGATGAGATCAGAAAATCGGTATTGTACACTATTACTAAGCGTGGGTGGTGAGTCTAAGTGGCAGCAAGTAACCAAGATGGCATGTGATTTCAACAGTAGCTTTGCTGTTTTGGAAGTCCTACTAAGGCCGGTATTTTAGGGCCTCCTATTGGTGGCTCAAGATAGGAATGGACTTTTTTTTTTTTTTACTAGAGGCTAGTGTTGTGTATCTTCTAAACTTATTACAGTACTGCATTGATTGCTACAGGCACTACAGTGTGCTTCCAGATAGTTTAATTTTACTTCTCCGGGTATTGAACTATTTTTCTAAGTCATTTTTCAGTTTTCTTCAGGAACTGCAATTAGATATGTGCGGGAAAGGGGAAAGTTAAAATCAGCAAAATGGGGCTTGCATCATAACACTCTGCCTGTTACCTCCTTTGTTGGTGTGCCATTTCATGAATGCTCCAAACAGGCAAATCCCACATTGCAGCACTCCATCTGTCATCTTGCTAATTTTTGACTCTCCTCCCTTGCTAAATTCCACTATCTAGAATCCTAATTCAAAGGAACATTTTTTTCATACAGCCTTTCATAGTAGTAATCCAGCTTTCTTGGACATAAAACCATGGCTTGAGTCAATTTGATTCAGTTAGGGCACCTGGCTAAAAAACAAAGAAACTGAGCTTTAGCCCATCATAGGCAAGAAAACTAGGTGGGTGACTCAGGGCCAATTTCTCTTAGTCCAATTCACATTGCAGGGTATTGTGGGGCAAATAGGAAGAAGAAGGAATAGTATTAGGTATGTTCCTACTCTTGAGTTTATTTATTAAAAAATAGATGGGATAAAAAAAATCTAAACCAAAGATACATATTTTGTTTGTATAATGCTTATTTTCAATGGCAAATTGGGGTTTTTATTAAGGGAGATAGTAGGAGAGACTTCCTTCCTATGAAAAATCTACTAAAACTACTTTTGCAATCATTCAAGGTTGGTTAAAAAAAAAAGACACACATTGCTAGATATTTTGAACTGCATAATTTTATTTGAAGTGCCTTTGAAATGACATACTTTTAAACATAGGTAAAACATTTGTATTTCTAAAGTAGCTGCTGCCCTATGAGAGGTATCTCAGATGGATTCACACATTTTCCGCCCATGCTTTACCTATATCTTTGTAGTATATATGAAGCATAGTTTACTTGCGTTCCCCCCCTAATAGTATGATTTTATGATGAACTTGCAGACTTTCATCTATTTGTTTTATTATTTAGGATTCTTTTTAACGTGTCCCTAATTTTTTCATTGTAAATTCTCCTCAGCATTATTTTAATTAAACAAAAAATATAAATATTGAATATAAATACAAAATGTGACATAATATTTGCACTGTGAACACACAGTGTTTGTAAAACTAATGAAGCTGAATCAAATAAAGTCAATGGGACATTATAATTTGTTCCATTTATTTCATTGTGTTCAGATCACCTACTGAAGTGAACAAGAAACATTTTTCCCCCTTTGGTAGAAATCTTAAAACAGATTTCATTTCTAGTTTAGTTCATTAAATGTTCAACACCTATTGGCAAGTGTCTACAATTACACCATTATGTTTTCCTCATATACTCATCGCTTGATTATTTCTCTCTTTTCTTCCTTGCAAAGCAAAGATTAATGATATGTATTACCCTTATATGTTTTTAAAATCAACTTTATTTAACCAAGGATGTATATTTGTGTTTCTAGTGGCTTTTAAAATAATTGCTTTTCCTATTAGATACTAAGCATAAAAGCTCGAGTCCTAGCTGATAATATTAATTACTTTCTCTTTTAAATACAATTTTTATTAAATAAGTACTTTTTAAAAAAATAAACACAATACACCATACAAATTTTGAAAGAGAAAAAATAAGGAATATAAGGGAAAGTAATAAGCAGGGAAAAAGTGTAAGGAAAGAAAGAGAAAAGAGAAAGAAAAGAAAAAGTTATATAAGAAGTTATAAAAGTTATAAAAGAAGTGGTTTCAGGTCTTCTTAAATAGGAGTTACAAGTACATTTATATTTTACTGTAACAGAAAGGTTGTGCTCTTCTAGTTCTAAAATTTTCTTATTTCTCAGCAGCACCAACTTCTTCATCCAAACCAAGCAACAGGCCACAAAATACAATTTCAAATCAGGCAGTCCTCATTCCTTGGCATCTTATAAGATTTTATATTTAACCCTTGGCTTTCCCTACAATATTAATTACATTCTTATAAGGATATAATGTATTTTGTTAAGCCACCATGATGAGAAACTTGCTGTGATAATTGATATATTAATTAATGTACACTGAGTATTAATTGTATGCTACAGACTCCCCATTTGTTTGAATACAGATGGAAAAATATGAGATCCTTGGACTTGTTGGAGAAGGAAGTTATGGAATGGTGATGAAGTGCAGAAACAAGGAGAATGGCAGAGTTGTTGCCATCAAAAAATTTTTGGAAAGTGAAGATGATAAAATGGTTAAAAAAATTGCCCTGAGAGAAATAAAATTTCTCAAGGTAAGATAATGACTGATAAGTTCATATTTCTAAATCTGTAGTGCTCTTTCACTAATATCAATATATGTAATCTTATAGACCTTTTGTCTTTGCTATAATGTCATTCTTGATGTTTATTAAAAATTAAAAATATAGGAGATGGCAGAGGTAAAGTAACACCAAAAGGATATATGCAAATACAATTACTTATGTTTAGTTTTAGATTGATTTCATACATCATTTGTTTGCTTTCCATTGATTAGATTACCGGAACAAAAAAGTCATCATAATAGTTTATTAACCATAATTGTTGTAACCAAAATCCAAACTACTTGATGATTAATATGATTAATATGTAGTGTGAATAGGGCTCCAGCATGTTAAATATTAAACAAAATGTATGTAGAAAACTGTTTTTAGAGAGAAGGAGATGAGTATTACTAGAGGGAATTACAAGCATAACAGTAAGATTGAGCAAGTAAAAAAGAACTAGTTAATAAAAAATAGACCATTTATTCAACTAAAAAACATAAATTAAAAAATGGGTTTTGTTTGGTTTTTAGATAATTACTACAGTGGTGGGTTCCTCCCGGTTCGGTCTGGTTCGGCCGAGCCGGTAGCGGTGAGGATATGACATCACCGAACCGGTTCTCCCCCCCCACATTATTCTTACCTTTTATTTGGTCTCACCCCCAATCTATTGCTGCCTCCTGAGTCCCAGCTGATGACTAGAGGGAAAAAAACTGTTTAAACTCTTGCCACGGGGCTTCAAAGGGCCATCCTACCTACAGCTGATCAGTGTTAAAAGCAAACAAATGAGTCGGGTCGTAAGTGCGAGGACTGGTCGTAAGTGCGAGGACCTTCCAGAAATGACTCTGACCACCTAGCCATGCCCACCTAGTCACATGACCTCCAAGCCACACCCACAAAATAAGCCAAGCCCACAGAACCTGTAGTAAAAAAATTTAGAACCTACCCGTGAATTACTAAGATATGATTTTGTTCCTGAGAGTTACTAGCTAGTTAGAAAAAATATTGTAATTTCTCTTTTACTATATTTATTATCATTGTATAGTACCAAACTATCTATAGATTTCAAGATACAGAGTTCTAATGTTTAGAGAAATCTAATATTTGGAAAAAGAAATCATTTTAAAATATATATTATTTTATATTATATTGTATAACTTTATTTTATTGTCATCGGCTAATAGAAATAGGGCATAGAATTAAAGAAGTATTTAACCTTGTTCTATCAGTTAGATTTTGCTGAATAAATAAATGGAGTAAATGTCTACATTTAGGGAATCATCTCTGGAAAAATAAATAGTGTACTGCGATTGTAATGGATTGCTTAGTTAAATTATTTATATAGCGATAGGGAAAAGAGATTGTGTAAATATTAAGACTAATAACTGTTGAATATTAGTAATCATTAGTACTACCATGTTTACCCCAAAATAAGACCTTGTCTTATATTTTTTTGAACCCTGAAATAAGCGCTTGGCCTTATTGCCATGCGCTCAAAAGCCCAATTGGGCTTATTATCAGGGGTTGTCTTATTTTGGGGGAAACGGTATTACCTAGTAAACATGCATAGAACAGTATTTGGAAGTATTTATATGATTTACGTAATCATGTATATATTCTTCAAGAGGCAATTATTGTGAATGTTTTCACGCAACATACTGCCTCTTATTGTAGTTTTATGACGCACTTTCTGTCTCCTGATAGCAATTAAGACATGAGAACTTGGTGAACTTGCTGGAAGTCTGTAAGAAGAAAAAACGATGGTATCTGGTGTTTGAATTTGTAGATCACACAATCCTTGATGATCTTGAGATGCTTCCCAATGGCTTGGATTATAACAGAGTTCGAAAATACTTATTTCAAATTATAAAAGGGGTAGGATTTTGTCATAGTCATAATGTAAGTAAATTGCTGCATCTATTTAATTTTGTTTGCCCATTTTCATCTTAAGATTTTTGAGAGAGATGCTAGTTTTATATCTCAGAATAAATTTACATTTATAAGGATTTAAAATATCCCGATAATTATACTTTCATGTTTCTTACATACAGCTATGAAACTATACGCTATCTAATGAAAACAAACTGCCCTTTTCATTTCTATTCTTTGTGGAAGTGGAAAACATGACATGTTTGTGTCATGTTTTCCCTCATTAGTTGGTGATGTAATAGTTGCTTCAGGGTTAGTATACAAAGCTATTCTTTCAAAAGCAAGGATAGATTATTATGCTTGTGTGAATATTTTCTGAACATTCTGCATGTTTATCACTTGTATGCTCATATAAAGTGAGTAAATTTACATGTTCTTCCTTTGAGATAGCACAATATTTTACAGTATTGGGAATAGGAAGACAGTTCTTTCACAGACATTTTGTTGTTGTATAATTTTTTTTTCTTCTAGAAAAATATCTTTTTTAAAAAATAATTCAATGTGTGGAGATATAACATCATGGACCATCTGTGATGGACTTTTTGCAGTACAGTTTCTCACATAATATTCCATTTGTCAAATAATGAGAATGTGAAGTAGGCTGTCCTCTTTAGGTTAGTCTGAAGAACCTAGATGTTTTCCATGATGGGTTTATAGTGACTTTGCAAACATAGATATGAATCCTTTTTTTAGATCATACACAGGGATATTAAACCTGAAAACATATTGGTCTCCTGTTCGGGAATTATCAAACTCTGTGATTTTGGATTTGCTCGAACGCTTGCAGCTCCTGGTGAAGTTTACACAGATTATGTGGCAACACGGTGGTATCGAGCTCCTGAGCTGTTGGTTGGTGATATCAAATATGGCAAGTAAGGAAATTTAGAATTCAATATTAAAATATTCTTAGATTTTTAAAAATATTTTTTATTTTATTCAGAACAAAATTAAAATACAAAACTCAATAAAAATCCAAGAAGACATAAAAGGAAAAAAACCCACAAAACAGAACATTAAAAAAGGGTGCATCAACAACAGTATATTATACACATATTATCCCCTCTAGCTGAATACTGATTAATACATAATTACAATTAGTTCCTACCCCTTGCAAAACAGGCTCTCCCAAATTTTTGAACTACTAAATCTATTAGGAATGTTGATCTGTCTTCTATATGTTATATTAATGATAGTTAGCTGGAAAAACAATAATAGTAAAACAGAACAAAATTAAAGTTTAAAATCTTTCTGTTAACAAGTTGTTATTGTAATTCACTTGTAGAAAATTTACCAGGGTATCTTAACTATCCCGGATCACCCCAAAAGTTATAAATAGATTGTCCTGAATCAAAAATCCATGTCTGTTTCTTAATATCCTCTCTTGTCAATTATTGTTTAATTAAATGTAGTATATGCAGTCTCCAGACTATGTCTGTCTTTGGGTCAACGTGCAAGCGGAAGTAGTTACCACTTAACTGTAATAAATCCATCCAGTCTTCCTCTGTTTTCATATAAGAAAGGGATTCCTTCATAGAGGAAAGGAAGTTGTCTCCCTCTCTTCTAGCTGAAGCCATAAGACTTCAGACAGACTTCTGAACAACAACCACTTTTCTGATTCTTCAGCCATGAGACTATCTCTTTGATCTGGAACTGGGTCAAAGTCCTTTTGTTTATCTTTATCCAACGATAAAGCTTCAGGTTGTAACATTCTTTGAAGAATCATTAAAGTTTGATCAAGTTTATGTAAGAGGAAACCAGGTATAAGCTGCATATTTTTCCATCCTTCTTTCTTAGTTTTCGGACTTTGTTCAGCCATTTTAATCTGTGGAATTTAAATCAGGGACCAAAGAACAAAAAAGCATTTTCCTCTATATTTCAATCCAAAATTATAAGAAAATTTCAACAGAAATAAACTCCAGACATTTTGCAAATATGTCTCTTCACCACTTCCCAAACACTGCCATGCCTTCCATACAGAAGGAACTGAAGTTATCCAGAAATCGATATATCAGAAGGAAAAAAGAGAAAAAGCAATTACAGTCTAGCAAGGAGTTGAAATAAATTAGCATTCAATCACTGATCAACTTTTAAACAAAAAGCAAAATAAAGCAATAAAGTCAAAAAGTGAAAGTTATAATTCCTGCATGCTTAGAAAATGAAACTTCTTGACAAAAAGATGGAAATGCCCAGTGACTTTTCAATTGCTTCTAGAGGGAATTGGCATCTTCAAGACCTCCTTCCCCACTGGGTCCACGATTGTCCAAAAGTCATCTTGGGTTACTCCTAAGTACTCCCATTCAAAACCAGGAAGCAGCACTGTTAAAGAACCAGCTTCAGCAGTGAAATCAGCAGATTGTTGATAAGAGAAAAAAGAAAACATAGCAAGTAGCAGCCATCTTGAAAGGAGGGCCAAAAATTTTTTAGATTTTTTTATATATTTACAAGGAAAAGGAAATTAATGAATAAGCATTATGATGAATTGTAGCCTAAGCAGAGATTTGAAAGCATTATTATTATTGTAATATACTCTCTGTTTGGAAAAAATCAAATAGAATAAACTTCTTTTTCTATTATCACAAATAAAATATTAGGGCAGAGCTAGTTCTTCATAAGTATGTTCTATTTGCAGGGCTGTTGATGTGTGGGCCATTGGCTGCCTGGTAACTGAAATGCTTACAGGAGAGCCCCTTTTCCCTGGAGACTCTGATATTGACCAATTATTCCATATTATGAAAAGTCTAGGTAAGAATGCATCCTGCCTTTTTGTTTATGCTTTTATCTGTCTGGCTAGCCACCTAGTTATTCATATTTTTTGTGCAAGGTTATACTTTTAAAGTCTTGTTATTGATATAAACAATTATAAATTTTAGGTAACTTAATTCCAAAGCACCAGGAGTTATTCTACAAAAATCCTCTCTTTGCTGGAGTGAGATTGCCTGAAATCAAAGATTTAGAACCTCTTGAAAAACGATACTCAAAGCTCTCCATTGCAGTCATAGAATTTGCAAAGGTAATTTTGAGGTCTCTTATCTTTCTAGTCTGTTCCAATTAATGGAATCATATCTTTGGGAGTCTTCAAGTTTCTGTAAAATTGAATAGTGATAAGAAAACCAATCATTTTAATATCAGTGATCTTTTCCCAAACTCTTTGGGAAAGAGTGACTGCTTTAGAAACTGTTTCTAGCTATTTTAGTATGTATGCACATGCCCTCCTATTTTGCTTTTCAGAAAAAAAAAGCAGAATGAAGACTCTGTATTTAAATGCACATGAAAACAATTGGGAGACCCTTCCAAAGAAGCCAGATGTCTAGTTCTTAACTTAGCGGCCATTCAGACCCCTCAAAAGCTACTTATGTTCCAGTTTCAAAGTTAGGGCCCCTACAACATTCTTACAGTCATTTGTTCTTACAACCAAATGCAGGGATGCTGCAGCACTCCCTCCCCACCGCCTATCTTTCCCCCATATTCCTCCCACCAGTTTGCTGCAGGACTTGAATCTGTTTTCCACCTCACCAGGCCCAGAGCCCACCCAACATCGATTGTGCTACATAGTGACTCTGGACTGCTTGACTCCATTCCAGAAGTATGTGCCATTTTCCAAGTGCCATTATGAAACAGCAACGTATTTTTCGAAGTATAAGATGCACCGGAGTATAAGAGACACCTTAGTTTTTGGGGAGGGAAATAGGGGGGGGGGAAATTCTGCCTACCAGGTATTCACCTGGCTTGTCCCAGCACATTAATTCGCTCTCTGGTTTTGAGGTTGGGGCTGTGCTTCTAAAGCACAACTGATTGTCTGAGGGAGCAACAATTAGAAAAGAAGGCAAAGCACGGAAGATCACTTCGCTTGCGTTGTGGCTGAAAAACAGCTTCAAAAGCACAGCTGATCCTCAGATAAGTACAGATTCTACATATGTACAAAAAGCTAGTTTAGACTTAAAAGACTGGAGTGCTCAATGGAATTTTTGACATTTTAGTTTCTGTCATTGCTCTCCTCCCATTTCCACTGTATAGTATACCTTTTTTAAAAAAAAAAAGTCCATCTGCTTCAGAAATGGTTTGCTATATGATATGAAAGGAATTTCATAAAATTCAGGCTAAATTCTTCTGAAGTATGTAGATTAGATGTACTGATATTGTGTCTTGTTCAATAGAGCTTGGATCATTTTGTATGATTCCATTGTGTTTAACAAAATAAAATTTTAATCTTACTTCAGCAATGCCTGCAAACTAATCCAGAAAAGAGGCCATCTTGTAATGAACTGCTGCAATGCAACCTCTTCAGCAAAGATGGGTTTGCTGAAAGGTGAGTTTCCTGGTTTTATCAAAGTACCTGTTAAAAAGTAAGAATAGTGAGAATTTATATGTATATAATACATTCTCCTTTTAGCATTTACAAAGATGGAACTAGATATTGATTACTTCTGGAGCTGCAAAATACTTACACAGTGTCAGGAAGTGAAAATCATGGATTGGAATAGTGACACTTCTTATCTGCTTCCTTTTCTGTTGCTACGTTCTTATCTCAGAAAACAGTTAACAGATTTGGTCTAAGCACAACTCGGGAATACAAAGTGGCATTGGGCATGATCTGACCCGCTAATTCTTCTTTGCAGAAGAATTTTACTTCTTCCAATTTCCTGTATCAAATGTAAATTAGTTGCTCCTTGTTTGCTATCAAATGTTTGGTGCCAGTTCTATATAACCAAAATAATACCCATAATTTCTTTTAAAAGAAGTGACCTTTCAAATGATTCTTAATTCATATTAGAGACTGCCCCTTTGCACATCTATTTAGCTCTCATAGACTTATGTGAGTTTATCACATATGTCTATGTTCATAAACAGAGTTTATAAACAATTGAACAATATAAAACTCAGTGTTTAGTGCTCAGTGTTTCTAGTCAATTTCTTTCAGTTTTGACCAGCAAATCAAAACTTTGCAACATAGGTTTGCAATCATCCTGTTGAAATAATAGTATAACATATACATGATAAAAATAAGCTTTATTATTAACTTTAGCAGACAGATTTAAAGAGAAACACAAAAACATAACATACCAAGCAAGATGATAACAAATATCCGTTCAGCTATCAGGAACCCTAAGATGGCCATTGTACACAGCACTCAGCAATAGGTCTGTGTCAAAGTTTATAGCTTTATAGAGTTTTGTGAAGTCCTTTATGCCCTCTTAAGCTTGGTTTCATTACCTGAATGGATAACAATCATTGGTACACACAGTGATTGTTGTGAGCAAACAGAGAGCATCAAGGAGGCCATAGTTCAGCCGTAAACCACATATATTATCCTGTATCAATGATGGCGAACCTTTTAGAGACCGAGTACCCAAACTGCAACCAAAACTCACTTATTTATCGCAAAGTGCCAACACAGCAACTTAACCTGAATAATGAGGTTTTACTATCTAAAATAATGACAAACAACACAGAATTCAGCTAATTGTTCTAACAAAAACATGATAAATGCACTTTTATGCCCTTTCATTTTTTTTCTGTTTTTGAAATATTACATTTAGCAACAATAACAAAGAAAAACTTTTGTAATATCACTTCTCCTTCCCTCCCCCTCTCTCTTTCCCCTCTCTTTTCTTCCCCCTCTCTCTCTTTCCCCCTCTTTGTCTTTCTCTCTTTCTCTTTCCCTTCCCCTCTCTTTTTTTCTCTCTTTCCCTCCCCATCTCTTTTTCTCTCTCTTTCTCTCCCTCTCGCTCTCTTTCCCTCCCCCCTCTCTCTTTCCCTCCCCGCCTCTCTTTCTTTCTCTCTTTCTTTCCCTCCCTCTCTCTCTTTTCTCTCTTTCCCTCCCTCTCTCTCTTTCCCTCCCCCCTCTCTCTGTGTCTCATCTATCTATCTCCCTCCCTCCATCCATCTTTCTCTCTCCATCCATCATCTATCCATCTATCCATCCGTGCTCTCCTGTTCAGCTTCACGTGCTGTGTGAATCCAACCACTTGGGCTGTGGAGGGGGACTGGAGGCTGGCAGGCAAAGCCAAGCGTTAAAGATCCATACGAAATAAGGCAACTCCAACCTGGATCCTGTTGGGGAGACGCCCCCCCTTCCCTCTCCTTCTCTCCCTCCCCCATGGCGGGGGCCGGGCAGCCTGAGCACAGCTCCCTCCTCGAAGGCAATCAGCAAGAAAACAAATGTGGCACTTTGGCTGGGAGGCGGCGGCATGAAGCCCCACCTCTGGCCAGTGAGAGTGGAGCAGGCAGGATATGCACCTTCCCTGCTGCTGCTGTGGCGCTGGCGCTGGCTGGAAGGGTTGTGCGAGCTGAATGTTTGGAGCCGCATTCGGTGGAGTTTGCAAGCAGGCTTGGTGGGGCTGCTTAGCGGGGAGACCTTGGCCCATTTGGTTTGCTTCAGTGCGGGGTGGGAACGCAGAAGGCAGAGGAAATCTGTGCCTCTCAGCGTTCAGTTCTCAAAGACTCCTTTGGGGCAATTTTTTCTGCTTTTGAAACATTATGTTTAGCAACAATAAAAAAGAAAAACTTTTGTAATATCACTTCTCTTTTCCTCCCTCTCTCTCCCTTTCCCTCCCACCTTCTCTCTCTTTCCCTCCCTCCTTCTTCTTTTTCTCTCTGTCTGCCTCTCTCTCTCTCTCTCTCTCTCTCTTTCTCTTCCACCCTGTCTTTCTCTCCCCCCCCCTCTGTTTCTCTCCCTCTCTCCTTCTCTGTCTCTCCTCTGGTGTGGGGGGAAAAGGAACCCCTGAACTGGTGCTGAGTGCTGGGAATCTGACATCCAGAGGCTGATGAGCCCAGGTGCAGCATACCCAAGCTCAGTTGGCTGGCGAGGAAGCTGGGCATCCCAACACGGGCAGCTCTGTGGTAAAAGCAACTGACTGGATGTCAGTTGCTTTTTTTTGCCGAGCCGACGCAGGGTCGCATTGTGGCTCCACATCGTAATGGGCTTCAGGAGGAGGACGGGACCCTGTCTTCCCCATTGTGAAGTGCCCAAGTGAAAAAGTTCACTCAATCATTTCCAACTTCACAAGGTCTTTTTCTTTTGCGAGAAGTTGGAATTGATTGAGTGAAACGCGATGGAGAAACATGATTGGAGCTGGGCTGGGCCAACTGCACATATGCCCACAGAGAGGGCTCTATGTGCCACATCTGGCACGCATGCCATAGGTTCACCATCACTGTCCTATATTTTTCCTTAGACTTGTTTAAGTGGAAGTTTTATTTGTTATCTCATTGTATTTCTAGCTACATTAAGAAATGATAAATAAAAGGCCAATATTTCCAGAACTATATTGAAATGTCTTTACTTACAAACATGATAAAGATAGTTTTTAATTTATGTTTTTTGAAAATGTTTAATAACAACAAAAACATAAGAGAAGGGGGTTTAAATGTGAATGTATGATGGGTAAATGCTTTTACTTATTAATAAAAGTTGCATTTTTACGTTTTCATTTTAACATGGAACATAAGATTTATTCAAGAACTTAAAATCAAGATTCAAAAAGAAAAAGAACATTCTGTACCCAAGAAACCAAAAATAAATAAGGACAAAGATGATATAGGCGATGAAAGAAAAATGCTTTTAACCCAGGTTTGTGGCACTCCGGATTTTTCCTTCTTTACAATTGTATATGAATATATGTATAAAAAAGATTTTAAAGCCAAGTTTAATCTGTGCCTCTGAGAAATTGCTCTTCTTTGTTTAAGATGGGACTGTCAGAATGTTGTTACATTCTAAGAGCTTTCTTATTAGAAATCATGCAGGTTTTATTTAAGCTATTTGCATACAAACCCTGTTTTCTCCATGAATTACATAGCATCCTATTTTCAATGCTACGTTCCTCTGAAATCCTTCCTTCTTTATTTTTTTAGTTATATATTTTATTTATTCAGGACAAGATTAAAATATAAAGTACAAAAATCCCCCTCCCCCCAAAAAAAATCCAAAAAAAGACAAAAAGAAAACAAAAACATAAAACATAAAACAATCAAAAACATTAAAAAGGGTGCATCAAAAAACCGCATATTATCTCCTCTAGTTGAATACTGATTAATACATTGCTACAACATTAGTATCCAACTCTTGCAAAAGAGGCTCTCTCAAACTTTTTAAACTACTAAATCTATTTGCAAATTATTGACCCATCTTCTGTATGTTATAATAGTGACAAAGTAGTTAACAGGAACAATAATAGTACTAAAATAAAACAAAATTAAAGTTTCAAAACTCTCTATTAACAAACTGCTGTTGTAATTGTAGAAGGTTTACCATGACATCTTATCTATCCCAAGTTATCCCAAAAGTTATAAATAGTTCATCCTGGATCAAATATTCATGTTTGTTTTATAATGCCATCTCGTATCAATTGTTGTTTAATTAAATATAATAGATTCAGTCTCCAGAATAAGTCGATCTTCCAGTCAAAGTCCGAATAGAAGGGAATACCAGTTAACTAATAAATCCATCTAGTCTTCCTCAATCGTTGTAGAAGAAAGGAATTTGTAACTTCCCCTTTCAGTCAGAGTCCTGGTATTGTAGAAATATGCAGATTTAAACTTCAGAGCAGCAGATACACTTTGTTAATCCTCCAGACATGAGAATGTTTCTTTGGTCTGAAACTGGATCAAAATTCTTTTGTGTATCTTTATCCAAATTTTCATGCCCTAACATATTTTGCAGGATCATTATTGTTTCATCAAGCTTTTAAAGAGAAAATCAGTCAAGAGTTGCATATTCAGCATCTTCAGAATTAATCAAGTTGATATGGTACTATATGGTATTAAGCTATTACAGAATCTAATTTGTTTTGGATACTGCAGAGCCTTCCTTCTAGAAAATAACAAAGAAAACTAGTTATGGAGAGGATGTGGATTGACCCAGACAATACTGCAGACCCTAGTCAAGCAATGCTTATAGGCCAGTGATGGCTAACCTTTTTGCCATTGCATGCCAGGAGAGGGGGCGGTGGGGGGGTCATGCACGCATATGCCCACACCCATAATTCTATGTGCCCTGCCCTGCGCATGTGCGCGCAACCCCCCTTGCCCCCCGGCTCCTGGCACACGATGGCCTGGTAGGCCCGTTTGGCTGCTGATCCTCTCTATTTATCTGGGAAGAGCAAAAACAGCCTTTCTCACTCCCGCGGAGGCTCTCCAAGGCCTGAAACAGCCCATTTCCCAAGTCCCGGTGGGACAGGAAGTGACTTTTTTGCTGTCCCCAGCCTCCAGAGCTTCTCTAGGAGTCTCTAGGAGCCTCTCTAGGAGTCTCTGGAGGTTGGGGACAGCAAAAAATGTCACTTCCTGTCCCACCGGGAGTTGAGCCATTTCAGGCCTTTGGAGAGCCTCCGAGGGAGTGGGAAAGGCTGTTTTTGCCTTCCCAGATAAATAGAGAGGATCTGGAGCCAGGTAAGAAAGAAAAACGGGCCTTCCCCCCCACCCCCCAGGCCCTCCGGGAGCAGGAAACAGCCTGTTTCCCTACTTCTGGTGGACCCAGAGGGCCCGAAAATCAGCTGGCCGGCAGGTGCCCCAGAGCTGAGCTGGCGTGCCCACTGATATGGCTATGCGTGCCACTGTGGCACGCATGCCATAGGTTCACCACCACGGTTATAGGCTATGTCCTGGATAGAAGGAAGTGAACTTCCAATAATCTTTTCTGCCATCCTCATCATTCATTGCACAACCTTCCTGTCCGAAACAGTAATATCTTCAAACCATACAATAGTACAACACAACAGGATGCTTTCCATCGTCCTTTTATAGAAAGTGATAAGAAGAGAGGAAGGAAGATGTGCTCTTCTCATACAATGCAGAAAATGCAGGCACTGCTTTACCCACTTCACTAGAGCCTCACTGTTGAGCGACTAAGCTAATCTGCTCATGCTTCACATCTGCACATCCAAAAACTTGATATTACTAACCACCTCCACAGAGTTAAAACATGATGGAACATTTTCTGAAATCAACAATGATCTCTTTTGTTTTTCTTACATTTAAAACCAGGCTGTTTTTATTACACCAGTTCATCAAACCCTCTAGTTCAGTGGTTCTCAACCTGTGGGTCGGGACCCCTTTGGGGGTCGAATGACCCTTTCACAGGGGTCGCCTAAGACCATCGGAAAACACATTTTTTCAATGGTTTTAGGAATAATTTTATGGTTGGGGGTCACCACAACATGAGGAACTGTATTAAAGGGTCGCAGCATTAGGAAAGTTGAGAACCACTGCTCTAGTTCATCCTGTAATCGCTCTTGTTATCGTTCTGAATAAGGCCCACCAGTGTTGTATCATACGCATGCTTCACAATATGGCTGGTAGCAAACCTTCAACAATCGTGGGTCAACAGGGTGAATAATAGCAGACTCAGAACACAGCTCTGAGGAAGAACCTGTGCTCAAACACATACTGGGGCCTATCAGTGAGAAAAACCAAGAATCCAATTGCACAAAGGAGTATTGAAGGCTAAAAGGCTCAATTTATCTACTAAATGCTGAGGAATAATCGTATTAAATGCCGAACTTAAACTGACAAACAACATTCACACATGAATATTTCTTTCCTCTAAGTGCATCAAGCTCAGATGGAGATCATAGGAAGTAACATCCTGTAAAATGATTTGGATGATAAGCAAACTGAAGTTAGTCAAATGCTGGAAGGAGGCTGGATACAATAAAGTCGTTTATCAGTCTTTCAAAACATTTCATAATGATGGACATAATTGCAACTGATTGATAATCATCAAACATAATTGAAGACTTTTTTTGACACTTGCAAAATAATAGTTTTAAAACATGATGAAACACTGGCTGCTGCAATGAAAAAATGAAAATATTTGTAAGAACACAAACCAATTCATCTGGATACTTCCTAAGAACGCCCAGCGATATTTATCCAGGTCTGCTGATTTATGAATGTTAACTTTCCCAATGTCCTCCAGTTAGAGGTAACATCAAAGCTAATCACTTTCTCATCAGGATGGGGTATAGCTTTCCTCTCAGGTAATATTTGATGCCTCAAGTGTTCTCAAAAAAGGGTATTCAGCTAATTTAAAAAGATGGTTGTCCTTACAGCACAATAGAGCCAATTTATAATCTGTAATGGCCTGGATGCTTTGCCATATACACCTGATGTTTGTAGAGTCCTGAAAGAAGTTCTGAACTTTCTGACAATGGGCTTGCTTTGCTATTTTATGGTATATGTCAAATTGGCTCTGGCTGTTGTGAGCACCAGCATATCACTGGATTTAAAAGCCGCATTCTGCTCATCTGTATCAGGTTGCAGTAATGTGATGTCTCTAATAATCTTCAGGCTGAAAAATTCAATTTCAAATGCGGTTCAGCTGCTACCAATGAAGTACTAAATAGGATTTATTGAAGAACAAAAAGTATAAAATAGGGAGAAATACTGAGAATTAAAGAATGTGACAGTATTGCTGTCCAGCATATACTGTAGAAGTATGTGGTTTATTAAGATATCATTCCTATTGTTGCTCTAAAATAGTCTACAAGGCTTTACCTCTTCATTGCTTCCTGCTGTTATAGAATTAAAATTTAAAAAATGACTAATTTATCTTGCTTAAATATTGATACTAAAGAATTAAGATCACCCCACATCTTGGTGATTTAGTATGTGGTCCCTTAATTTATTTTACACCCATGTTTATATATTCCTTTCCTTCTATCTACCTCTGTGTATTTCATTAATAGTTACTATTTTCCAAATAAAATAAAGTGCAGACAAGAGTAGAGAAAAGAAAGTTTACTCTGTTTATTAAAAAATAAACAGAGTAACTCTTGTAGTAAATCAGATACTGTATTAAGATTTTTTTGTTACTGAGAAATTCTTAATAATTGTTCTTCCAGAGTAATGTAAGACTTTCTCAAATATATACAGTACATACTGTAGAAACTCCTGCATACAGAATAGAAAAGTGTTTAGAAATCGCATTTCAGAAAACCAAATAATTTTTTTGCTGAAACGTATCATTTTGGCTGTCAAATGACAGCCAAATGATAATGGAATATTTGAACACAGAAATAATTGGAAATTTATGTATATATCATGCAGGAAAACTCATTAGAGAACCAGGATCGGCATTAGCTGTTTGTCTAGTGTACACTTGACCAACAGACTCAGATTTATTGCCATTTCTGTTGAATACTTATTATAAATGTGACTTTCTGTGTTTCATTGAGATAAAATAGAAGCTATATTCTTACATAGTTGGATCAGGATAATTGTACATATATAGAGCAGTACTGTGGATTAGAATATGATCGGTTGCCTCTTGCAGAGAGAAATAATATTTTTTCCCCATGTTCTCCTAGTGTCACTAAATGGTGCAAATGTTAAAAGGATTACAGTTTTCTATGACCTTCATATTTAATTTAATTTTTAATTTAATTTCGAATTTATATACCGCCCTTCTCCCTGAGGACTCAGGGCGGTGTACAGCCAAGATAAAAAACATAGAATACAAATATTAAAACATTTAAAAATATATATAAAATTTGGCCCCAAAAATTAAAAATCGCAGACTAATTAAAAGGATTTTAAAATTTTAAAATTTTAAAATTTCTTCTTAAGCCAACCCGGCTTGCTGAAAAAGATAGGTTTTCAGGGAACGACGGAAGGCATTGAGGTCCTGGATTCTTCTTATCTCCGGGGGCAACTGATTCCAGAGGGTGGGAGCCCCCACAGAGAAAGCCCTCCCCCTGGGGGCCACCAGCCTACATTGTTTGGCTGATGGCACCCTGAGGAGGCCCTCTCTGTGGGAGCGCACGGGTCGATGGGAGGTCATCGGTAGCAGCAGGCGGTCTCGGAGATAGCTAGGCCCTATGCCATGGAGCGCTTTAAAGGTGATAACCAACACCTTGAAGCGCACCCGGAAGACCACCGGGAGCCAGTGCAGCTCGCACAGGAGTGGTGTTACATGGGAGCGCCATGTTGCTCCCATCACTACCCGCGCTGCTGCATTCTGGACCAGCTGGAGCCTCCGGGTGCTCTTCAAGGGGAGCCCCATGTAGAGAGCGTTACAGTAGTCAAGGCGAGAGGTGACGAGGGCATGAGTGACTGTGCACAGGGAATCCCGATCAAGAAAGGGCCGCAACTGGCGAATCAGGCGAACCTGATAAAAGGTCCCCCTGGTAACAGCCGTCAGATGTTCCTCCAAAGACAGCTGCCTATCCAGGAGGACTCCCAGATTGCGAGCCCTTTCATATAACACTGCCTATTAATTTTCACTTGTGTTCAGTTCATTTGTAGTACTTGGTTTGTGTTTTGTAACAGGATTTAGGTGTGAATTCAAAGCTCAAAGACTCCAAGCTGTTCAGAATGAAAGTATCTAAGGCTGACATCCTGAAATCGGAAAGATCATCATGTATGAGTTTCCTGTATGATAACAGTGTTGGACAATTTAATACAATTCCAATATATCTAAAGGATTCAAACAGTAGCCTAGAATATGTGAAGAATCCAAGCATGGTAATTCCTCCCATTGCACAGAATTATTCCACCACACAATCCAGCATCGATGGGACCCCCACAATGGGGACAACATTGGCAAGCCATAATTACAGGTACAAAATCAGAGTAAACTATCCAATTGGTATCAGTATTTAGAAAATATATATCTTTGCATATTATCTAATGTTACTTAAGGATTAATTCATACATTATTTTTACATTATTATTATTACATTATTTCTATTGTATAGCTATAATATACAGTACTTATTTCCAAGTAGGATGAAGATCTTATGCAAAGTGAGAATTGCTCCAACAGTATTTTTTCTTAAGTTTAGGCCTCATAGTTAGCATTTGGTTTAAAATAACATACCCAATTGTGCAGTAGTGGAACAAAAGACCTATAATTGAATAGATATTACAGAGTGAAGGAAGGTTGAAGAAGGAGGAAGAAAACCCTTACCTAGCTATTAGCAAATGTATATAGCATGACAACTTCAATATTAATTCATGTTAGCAGTCTTCTATACAAACACTGACCCAGATGTAGATCTAATTAATTTCTGCAAAATCTCAATCTCTTCTGTAGATCATTCTGGGACAATTATATTTTTCAATTCTATAGTCTTGGACCTGACTTTTAAATTTAAGGATGCCCATTTTTTGTGTGTTTATTTCTAGAACTGATGAGAAAACCAAAACATATTTTAATCCTTGTATCAAGCAAGGGAAAAAGTCACCAGCAGGTCACTATAATGTGAACTTAACAGCATCGGTAAGCTCTCTTCGAAAATATTTGATCCTTCCTGACATTTGGCATTTATGTAGCTACATCTTGTGGGAATATGGGAAAACATAGATGAGCTTTATACTTTAGCCATTTTACACTTTAGCCATTTCTATTTAGAAAATATATATCTTGGAAAGTGGGCAGAGGCAAGAGAAGCAAAATTCCTCTTCCATGTGCACCTAGCAAGTAGGGCCTTTCTCTTAACATTTTAACTCTCCTTGTTATTTTGGTATTATTTTGTTCAGTTAAAATATTCTACTGTACTCAATGGCCAAAAATGTTCCCTGGGTGATTTAAATAAAATCAATAAAAATACAGGAATCCTACTAGCAAGCTTACAGTGAAACATACACAGCAGAGGTGGGTTTCAATTTTTTTTACTACTGACTGTGGGTGTGGCTTGGTGGGCGTGTTTTGGTGGGCATGACAGGGGAAGGATACTGTAAAATCTCCATTCCCTCCCCAATCCAGGGGAAGGATGCTGCAAAATCCCCATTTCTTCCTGATCAGCTGGGACTTGGGAGGCAGAGAATAGATGGGGGCGGGGCCAGTCAGAATTTTTACTACCGATTCTCCAAACTACTCAAAATTTCCACTACTGGTTCTCCAGAACTGGTCAGAACCTGCTGAAACCCATCTCTGATACACAGCACGAAGAGAAAAAAAAACATAAGGAAGAAAGAAAGAAAAAAATTCAGCATTTTTTTCTTAAACTACAAAACATTTGTAGGGGGGGAAAAAGAGAAGAGTTTCTTCAATCCCTTTCAGTTACAGATTTGCAATTAATGCTTTTTTCTTTCTGAAGTATATTCTGTATATATTGACATTTCTTCATAATTGTTCCTGACCAAATGACACAAAATATTTTCATTTTTGTTACGTTTCATAACTCATTTAGCATCAGCTTTGAAAGCTTATCAAGATACAGGCACAAACAATTCGAATATTTAGGATATATTATGCAAAGTGTGTGTTTTTTCTTAATGGGGAGAGACTTTATTTGTACCTAGAAAGTCTTATCTCCTACTAGTAGATGCAACTCAAACTTTCAACTTTTCCTAATAGAGAATAGCCTGGTTTAACTTAACTTTAACTGATTTCATCATAGCATTCTTTCCCAGCCAATATTCCAACATTATATTTTCAATAGTTATCACTTCTTTCTGCAGATATTTGCAAATCATGTTTTCCCATCCCTCCCCCCACTCTCTCTATTATGTTTGTTAAAGTTCTTTTGGTGTTTGAGAGTGGGCTCGCTATTAATATAGGATATATATAGTAAATATTTAGTACTGCTTATATAATTTCTGCATACAATGTTTCCATTTAGACTTTATTTTTTGCAAAACTTTAACATTTTATTTGCTTGGTAATAGATGCCAAAAGAGAACAATGTTCTTCAGTCCCTCAAAAAAAAGTGGGAGTTTTCTAAAGCAGATGTCCATTTGCCAGAGCTTAATTACAGCCATCTCCCTGAACTCAAAGGCGTGGATGGTAAGTGTTTGTGTTTGGTTTTAGAATGTTTATGATTAATTTTTATTAAATGTAGATTTTACAAAGATTTTTTTAAAAACTACAGAAACATAGAAGGAGAAAATCATTGTGTAACCATATAAACCGATTTAATAAATAAAGAAAAGAAAAGGTAAAGACTATCAAGAGAGTAAGAAAAAGAAAGATACCTAAAGATGCAACTTCTGGTCTTCTTTGTAAGCAGTTTGCAGCAGTTAGCATAGCAATCACATCTCCACCATTTCATGTTGCATATTATAGTTCCTTCCAATAAACAAACTTTTTAAATCATATGTTCATTTTGAACCATTTTCAGCAAAAAGTTTATAAAAGATGTCAGTCTTTTACATTTTATAGTTCAGAATTTATTGAATAATCATAACATTCAAAGCTAAAAAGTACATCTCAATGTATCATTGCCAGTTACATTTTTCTGAAATGTGATAATTCTAAGCAAAATCGAAACATCAATGAAATTTTACCCTGCTCTATCTAAACATATTGAAATCATTTCTATGCTTGCAAGTTTTGTATATGATGTATCCTAAAATTCCTTATGCATATGCTTGTGCACAGATGTTCAGCCCATAATAAACATGTCTTCTGTCTTTGCTACAAATGTGGAGGACTGTAATTGATGCTAGCCTGCCCATTTGTCTGGAATTATTTTAGTCCATATTAGTTTTTTAATTAAGGAAATGGAAAATATTCAAGCTAAATATCTCTAAGTAAGCAAACTTGAAAAAAATCTCATTTAAAAGATATCGTGTAACTGTCTAGATCAGTGATGGCTAACCTTTTTGCCATTGCATGCCAAAAGCGGGGGGAGTGCAGGGGGGGTCGCGTGTGCCCATGCCCACACCAATAATTCTATGCCGCCCACCCCCCTGCGCATGTGCCCATTCACCCCACTTTTGGCACGCGATGGCACAATGGGCCCTGTAGGCCCGTTTTTCGCTCTCCCCAGGCTCCAGAGCCTTTCTAGGAGTCTGGGGAGGGCAGAAAAGGCCTTTCCCACCCCCCCAGCCCCCGGAGGTCCTCCAGAGGCCAGAAACAGTCTGTTTCCTGACTTCCGGTGGGCCCAGAAGGCCCGAAAATCAGCTGGCCAGCACATGCATGCAAGCCGGAGCTGAGCTTGCATGCCCACCGATATGGCTCCGTGTGCCACCTGTGGCACGCGTGCCATAGGTTTGCCATCACGGGTCTAGATTCTGTTAAGCTTCAATTACCTTCCTTCCTAGCCAGCATGACCAGATGTGATGATAATGTGAACTGCAGTCCAACAATTGAGGAGAGCCACATGTTGTCCAACCTGTTATAAATCAATGGCTAGCAGCTCAAAGTCCTATGTAGCCTTGTACATTTTAGGAAATCTGGTACTTTTGCAAAGAGTAACTTCTGTTTATCAAAAATCAAATGTTTCTTTCATAAATAGTTTGGAATTCCAGATTTCTAAAGAAAGAAAACAAAATTGTTCCAGAGTCTCGCATGCCATCTCTTGCCACAATAGATCTTCAGAATCCAAATCTGGCTCTGCATCAGGTATTCAATTCCTTTTATTTGGGGAGTAAAAAAATGCATACACAAGTTATAGCATTTATATTTCTTCTTATTATTATTATTAAGTATGTATCTTTCCAATATGCAGCCTTACCTCCCTTAAAAAAATGCAGGGTATTCCTTAAGAAGAAAAAACTTATTGCTTTTCATCTTTGTATTTATTAGTAAATGTATTGAAAGTAAAGCAGAGAATATCATAATTATATTTCGTACAGCTCGGTTAGAACACCATTATATCAATATTATCTCACAAGAAATATGAGAGAGAATCTTTAGAGAAAGATAATAGAAATATATATGAAGTTGGACTTTTTAATACCCTGTTTTCCCCCAAATAAGACATCCCCTGATAATAAGCCCAATCGGGCTTTTGAGCACATGGCAATAAAGGCAACCGCTTATTTCAGGGTTCAAAAAAATATAAAACTGGGTCTTATTTTCAGGGAAACACGGTATATAAAAATATGACTTTAGGGAACATAATAAAAGTTTATAAAATTATCTTAACATGATCAAACATGATAATAGATTCGAGTTATTGTTATTTCTTACTGATGTTTTTGGTAACACTAACTGCTGCCCAAATATTAGCATGCTTGAAATTCAGTCAAAATTTACTTGATTTGCAGATATCTGGAAGCTCCTTGCAAGATACCTCAGAAGCCACCTTCCCCAAGGTAGAGCATTAGTAACAAGCGGAATTGGCAACTCTTACGTGATTCCCATTGATTACACATCTGCATCACTTTTACACTCTTATGGAGGTACTTTGAAATTGGGGAGGGAGAGGCAGTTGCTAGTATTTTGCTGTAGTTAAGATAATGGCAATAAAAGGGAAAAAATGATATTATGTTAACTAACACTGGTACTAAGGCTGCTACTTCTTATATAATGTGATGTGCATGAAGAAAATAATCTACAATTACTCATTTCAGTGGTCTTGAAGATCTCTAACAGTTGAAGATAACAAACAGATTTAACCATTTAAATGAAATTCTCCCATTTCCTCATTGCTGATTCACATTTTCTATAGAAAAACTGTCTGTCGTTATACAGTAAATCAGGCTTTTAAAGAATCTTTCTTACTGGCTGTTCACATATTATGATAAATAGCAAACAAATCAGACATAGGTATCCAAAACAGAGGGGCCAAAACAGAGCCAGTGATGGAACATATATCAAAATATTGCAACATAAACTTCAGCCCTTACATACTTTCATTCACCATTGCAATATAAATATGAAAGGACAGACATCTCAACACATATTTCATAATTTTGGCATTATCATGGCTACTCGTACATGCTTGTGAAATTGTATATGACTTAGCATTAAGTATGAGGTCAAGCATGTAAGTAGACAGGGAAGGCAGATTTTACAAAATTGTCTTATACTAATAGGTATTTTACAAGCATCAGTTTTTAAAACCTTTTTATTTCAAACTCCTTGCTATGCAAATTGCAAATTGAATTGAAATCATAAAGAAATCAGGGGAAGGCCATTGACTTGATATCTTATTCTTTAACTTTCTTTTAAATATCAAATTCAGTCCTGTGAAAGCCAGAATTTTGGGCTAAAAAGCCTTAGCTCTGATCTAGCAGGGAGAGGGAGATGGTCTAGAAATGCAAAATATAAATAAATAAAATCTTTTATAAACTCCTAAAGCAAAACAAAATTAGTATAAGTTTTCATTGAAATAAATCTACTGTGAATTCATATCGGTGAAACTATGACAATCTATAGTTTCTGACAATCTATGGTAGGGGTGTCAAACTCAAGTCCCATGGGCCGGATCTGGAACACACTCTGGCCCATGGGGCCACCCTGGAAACAGCGAAGGACTGCCCACAGTGCCTCTGCCAATAAGGAGCTTGAAAGGGCCGCCTTCGGCCACATCCGTTTTCACTGGCAGAGGGTTGCAGTAGGCCGCCACACAGCCCTTCCGAGCTCCAGTTTCACTGGCAGAGGGTTGCAGGAGGCCGTTGCAATCGAAAACAGAGCTCGGGAGCCCATTTTGGTTGGCAGAGCACTTGGGCCGCCACAGGCGCCCTTGGTACACATCGAGCTGGCCACATTCACCCTGGCCATGCCCAACCCTGCCCCATCCCCCCAAGGTCAAACACAATCCTGATGCGGCCCTCAATGAAATCAAGTTTGACACCCTTGATATATAGCCATAAGATTAGCATTTTGTATGAACCCTGCCAGTTGTGGTTTATTCAAGAGAACATGGTTATGTTAACTGTGATTGGACACAGTATGCAAACAGACCTAGTAATGGTATTTTAGGAAAAATAATGCTTTGATAAAAGATAAATAGTGTTTAACACTATTTTTATGCTTTTGGTTAAAATTCATCAGTTACAGCTTACATTTGCAAAGTCTATGACAAATACTTTCCTCCCGTAATAAATTAACTTGGATGAATTAGAAAAAAACTAAGCATGATATGATCTGATTAGTACTTGGATAAAAGATCATCAAGACATTTCAAGTTTGTAGACTCTGGAAATTTGGAAAAAAATAATCACCAGTCAAGTTCAACGATGAAGTCACCAGGAGTCAAACTCAACTCAAGGGATACTTTTCTTTGTATAAGTTTTCTATCAAAATTGAGAGAATGCTTGCAGTTATTCATAGCTCTATGTCTCTCTATTCATTTCCTAGTTTTCACTGAATTATCTTCACGTAGTTTCAAGCATTCAAGGAAAATCAGCACTCCTAAACATTATGTTATTTGAGTAGTACTTTTTTCTATCACTGCACCCAAATAATGTGAATTGATCATTTCTAAAGCATTCTTATATAAGACATGTTATTGAAGATGCTTAAAAAGTGTGTTGTGAATATCAGTGTTTGTATATATTTGCCCTTATAACTCTTCAATGCATTTGGAAATTCTGGGTATTGTTACTGTTTTGAGTAAACAGATATCTAACATTTTTAGTTTCCAGATAATAATAAAATTGTAGTAATTATAATTATTAGAATACCAGTGATATTTCATATCTACAGCAGGAGTGGGCAATCTAAGCACCATGTGGATTGCCTACACACACACACACACCAGTTTCCCATTGACTGCCTTTTCAGATCGAACAAAATTGAACATTACAGAATCACCATTCTTCCATTTTGGTGATATAGGAAAATTTAAAGACAAATCCAGTGCTTTGTAGTACCAACTATATTGCTTAAAAATGCCTGTCTCTCTCCTCCCCATTATACATAACTTTTTGTGCGTACAGAAATGGTCTCCACAAAGCACATTCTATGATAATGAAGATGCTGATTTGGAAGCTAATGGCAATGTGAAGTTTCTCTTACTTGCCACTAAAAGCTTTGTAAAGCATAATGAAGGAAGAAGGATTCTGCAACCACTGCAAAGGACTTGATGTTTGGATGCTGCTTGCTGGAAGTTTTATGAGGAAGTATTATGTACTTTGGCCTCAGCATTTTAATGAAAACAAATCAATTCTTTTAAAAATATGGATGGATATAAAGGTAAAGGTTTCCTCTGTCCAGTTGTGTCCTACTCTAGGAGACAGTGCTCATCTCCATTTCCCAGTGGAGGGAACTAACTTCCGAAGACATTTCCATGGTCATGTAGTCAGCATGACTATATGCCAAGGCACATGGAACACTCTAATCTTCCCACGAAAGTGGTACCTATGTATCCACTCACATTTGCATGCTTTCTAACTGCTAGGAGGTGGGGCAAGGAGTTCACCTTGTCACATAGCACTCAGGTCTTGAACTCGGGCTGTTGGCTTCCAGCTGACCAGCTCAGATTTTTTAACCATTGAGCCATCATGCCCCCCCCCCCATGGATACAATTGTTTATTAATTAAAAAACTGAATCATAGTTTTTTATATTCATATAATTGAATCATAGCCAGACCAGTGATAAAAGAGCTCTTTATAGCAGCTAAATATCTTAGTAGAAGACAATTGTTAGTACAGTAGACTGGGGTTCCAATCCTGGCTGGTACCTTTTTACCAGTAGGAGTCCTTGGCAAAAAGAAAACCCTAATGCTTCATCTGCCTATCTCAAAATATGAGTTACACAAACTAAAAGAGTCATGCTGTCTTGCATGTTATCTAGATTAACACAGTCCACATTAGTGATTGAGGAACAGGACAATGTGATAATAGACGGGCTACTGGAATTAACCATTCATGGACATAGCAAGAGAACCTGGAATTGATGGAATGCTACCACAACATAGACCTAATGAGAGGGAGTATATGAAATGCATGAGGGAACTGCAACCACACTAACTGAGAAAAGCTAGTTACCCAACACTTTTTTTTTTTTTTAATTTGATTTATATGCCGCCCTTCTCCGGAGACTCAGGGCGGCTTACAGTGCGTTAAGCAATAGCCTTCATACTTTTGTATATTTATACAAAGTCAGCTTATTGCCCCCACAAACTGGGTCCTCATTTAACCTACCTTAGAAAGGATGGAAGGCTGAGTCAACCTTGAGCCTTGGAGAGATTCGAACCAGCAGTAAATTGCAGGCAGCTGTGTTAATAACAGGGTGCTTTAAACCACTGTAGTACCAACACTTCAACATTGTGAAGCATGTAGCTGATCTATCTCACAATTTGAGATAGATCAGCTACATATTACATCCCAAATTCAAGAAGACTTGGAAGAAGAACTGGACATGTAGCCAACACCTGAAAGTGGAATGTCAATACCACCTCTCCTTTACAAAGTACAACAGTGGATATGAGGCATAAGATCACAGATAAACTTGCTACAATCACCTGAGAGTGGTTACCAAGGCTCAGTAGAGAAATACCATCAGATAATATATTAGAAGCCCTCACAACAATCCTTGATATCACAATAACTCAAACTAATGAATTGGTATATACTACAGTCACTATAATCCAATATTTGGCTAAGAAAAACAGTAATACATACTCTCTCTGGAAAATGAGGTTAGAGGCTAAGATCAAGATAACTCGGAAAGAGGATAGTTAACTGGTGGAATTACAGAAAGGTGTAAAGATTAGGGATAAGATTAGGTTTCTGAAAACATACAAAGGCCTGACTCTATCTGAAATCCTTGAGATGGATAAACAAAGGCTTACAGTACTGGCTACCAGGCCAAGAAGATAGAGAAGCAGAGGCCAAGAAGATAAATGCCTTGTTCTTCAAAGAACCATCCAAGTGTGCTTGCAGTGCAATAACAGTAACAACAGAGCTACCATTAGCAGAAACTGAATAGTACTGGAAGAACATATGGGACAAAGAGAAGCCATAAAACATCAGTGTAAAGTGGTTGCAGGACCTGCAGCACACCACAGCAGTCTTCCAGAACAAGAACCAGTCATCATCACAGTTGCAGACATTCAGCAGCAGGTTAAGAACATGAAGAACTGAATAGCACTGGGCCCAGATACAATCCACATCAATTGACTAAGGAAACTAACATCAGGGCATGAATGCCTAGCATCACAAATATATTAGCTAGCAGCAGGTTCCCACCCACACTGGTTAACACAAGGAAGGACAGTGTTGATCATGAAAGATCCCCACAAGGGAACAACAATGCCCAACCACTGGCCAATAATCTGCCTCCACACAATGTATAAAGTCCTATCAGACATTATAGCAACCAAGCTACAGAACCATATGGGCCGATATATGAACTCAGATCAGAAGAGCATTGGGAACAACACCAGAGGCTCCAAATATCAGATGCTCCTAAATAGAGCAGTTGCCTAAGAATCAAATCTAGACAGACCAATCTAAGTACAGCCTGGATTGATTACAGAAAAGCCTATGACTCAATGCTGCACACACGGATCTGTGAATACCTGGGGCTACACAAAGTCAACAGGACACTAAGGACTTTCCTCAAAAACTCAATGGGACTATGGAAGACAACACTGGAAATCAGCTCAAGACAGTTCATATAAGTGACCATTAAGTGCAGCACATACCAAGATGATGCACTGATGATGCACTGTTCTGCGGAAGCTTGAACTCCTTTAGCCAGATAATCACAGGGACTGGATATGGATTCAAGTTCAAGAGTAGAACTACTGTCAGCCACTTCCTCTACATAAATTACATCAAGTTGTATGGTAAGGGTGAATGAGACATCAATTCACTGATCCACCTGACATGGATCTATAGTGAGGACATTCGGACTGGAGAGGTATGGCAAGTAGGTGATCAAGAGATGGAAAGTTTCCAGAAAAACAAATAAGTTTTGAGAGCCCAAAGTGTACAAATTCTACATATTTTCTATTTTTTCCCTCTCTTGCTCATCATTATTCATTTCATCCCTTGATTGCAATTCTCTGTCTCTAATTTTTCCCCCAGGCCTTTCCTTTCTTTTCTTATACCCTTGTATTTAAACTAGGAATGCCCAACCCAATAGCTAAGGGTACCAGTATGTACTCTTAAGAGTATATCCCTTGAATTCAAAAGGACATTGTAATTAATTAATGAGATTTAATTGCATTGTTTCTTTTCTAACTGACTTTTATATGACTTATTTTTTTGCATAAGAGGAAATGCTTTCTTATTACCTTCTGTCTCCTGTATCAAATAGGAATATTATCTTTTACTGTGGAAATAACTTTTCATTGATGCATATTTTTAACTGATTATTTGTTAAATGATGTGAATAAAACAATTCAGAGATTAGAAAAATAATATATATTTTAAGGTGCATCTGCTGCCCAGAGACATTTTTGTATTAGATCTTGTTTTAATTAATTCGCTTATGGCATTGTTTTCATATGTGAACCTTCTATATGTGATTTTGCTATTACAGTTTATGGCACATGAACATAATTATGTTTGTAGAAGATATAACTAGCCTTTGAAAAAACTGTTGTTATTGGGTAGAGCGTAGGCTAATATTTATGTTTGATCTTTCATATGAACAAAAACATAAATGCTATCATTTTTATCCAAATACTGACCTCTCTCTTATGTAACCACAAAATATCATTCTGATTTCAATGTTTAAATAACCTATAATTTCTAAGCTCTGTGGCTTTGCAATGTTCAAACATGTATTTCTCATTGTGTAGATAAAATGTTAATTAAATGTCTGTCTCATGTTTGAACAGAGATTTAAAATCAGTGATAGTAAAGCAGAAACAAGTGATTTAAGAGGGTGAGTTAATGCCTTGAAATAAGTGAGAGGCAGCATTGTGCCAGCTTTTTAGGTTTCCCATACAGCAATTCCACTGTATCTACTTTTCCTTAATATGACTAAAAGTGGGGAGCATCTGCATTTAATCGGGGAAAGAGCTGAAATAAGTGGGCCCCTTTGTCCACTCTCCTGCTCTGTTCTCCCCCTAATGGCCATTTGTAAAGGCTCACTAAGTGAATTCAAAATTGGGTAAATCAGGATTCTGAGGGAACAATTCCTTTTCTCTCTGCAGGGAAGGGGATAGTGTATCACCATTTCCCACCCTTGCATAGAGCATTTACTAATATCTGGACAGGTCTGCCTGAATATATCTTCTGATATATGTGCTTGTTCCAAGTTATCTGTCGCTTAATATTCTTACAGATCTTTTTTGCTCATTTAAATATGTGTCTCTGCGTACTCATGCATCGTTCTGCTTTTAGTCTTCATATAAGCAAGCTGAAAGGTTGAAAATGGCTTCAGTTGTGAATGTTTCTTGCTCTACCATTTTTTAACCAACTGAAATAGCAATGGAGACCGCAATCAAGTGGGAGTGGAAGGAGATGCTTGACTTTTACTTTGGAAGATCTTTCTACTCAATATTGTTCTCCATTTCTCCTAAGTATTAACTTAAACTATATTCCTTTTCCTAGAACAATATTTAATAACATAGATAGTAAATAAAATTATAAGACAAGCCCATATTATATGGAGAAGCATATACTCCATCATTTTATAATTCCAGCACAAGTGATAGCTAATCCTTTATAACATCACACACACATACACACAAATGCTATTTTGTAAGTTAATTGTACCAACTTGATTTCAGGATGAAATCAGAGGCCTGAATTCTAAACATCGATTAATAGTCTAAAATTATTCACCATTTTATTTTCTGTAATTCTATGGATCTAAATGTATTGGCATCAGCATTTAATAAGGAAGCTGAATCTATAATCAGCCTTCAACCTTCTTTTATCTGAGCTTCTTTGAAGGAAGTCAGGAAAAGAACATTATTGCACATCTTCAACAATACGGGGGGGGGAGGGGGGAATTAATGTATGACCCTTATTACACATTAAGATAGCTTCAACAGAGGGACCTTTTCCTATTTTCATGGGTAAAATATATTATTTCCCAAAGAATGAAATATGCAGCTAAAAACACTGCTTGATCTCATATGCTTGGAAAAGCTATAGCATTTTTAAAATGATTAATTTCAGCCTCAGTAATCTTTGACTATTATAAAAGTGAATATGAAAATCAAAAAGCAGATGTATTAGATTGGAACTATTACATAGCACTCCTGATTGTTGGAAATAAACATTATTGTATCATTACTGTTTCAACTCATTGTTCTTAATCCCGTTATCTATGCTTCACATGGTTCACTGAGTGTTCTGTATCCAAGGCATAGGTTTCAATCAGTAGATTTAATCAGGGCATATAAAGTCAAAGGTTCCTTAGCAGAACAGTTTCCTATTTTTAATTTTGATTCCTTTCCTCCAGTCCCATAATGGAAGCAGTGGAAGGGAATACTTGAGTGTTCCACCTTGGACCATTCTTTTTTCCTACCATTGCTTTCCACTCTCCTCCAGAAAAAAAACCAGCCTGGGCATTCAGCTTGCAGAGCCAAGTAAGCATTGTAATTCAAGGATCAGTAGAAGATGTACAACTAAAATTAAATGCTGGCTGACAGATACGCTCATTTGGAATATCCATTTCTCCAAGATACAGCAAGAATTGAGCCAGTCAAACCCAGCTTTGCCCAGGAATGGAATGAATGTTGGGTTACTTGAACCAAAGCCATTAGCAAAAATAACTACATGAGTAATCCATGAATTAATCTGTTCTTTATGTAATCTGTTTCCAAGATGCAGGGGGGTATATTAGAGAGCAGGTTCAAGATTGTAGCAGTCTGAGTAATTATAAACTTCAGGAGCAGAAGCTTCACTCACCATCTCTTTGATGTGGGTTTTGTTGCTGAATAAGATTTTGGAAGGAATAGAGCTGTTATTCAGGCAGCAGTTAGCATTTTTTCTCCAATTATCAGTTGTAACTTTTACCTGGTAGTGGTATTGGGTTACTTATTCAGAACACTTTGAAAACAAATCTCAAATTGTTGTCTTTGTGAAATAGGCATTTCTATTTTGCTAAATATTTAGGAATACAAATATTTTGTCAAACATTTATGATATAGTTGCCATTACCGAACATTGGTAGGATGAAACTCATGACTGGAATGTACTGATGGAAGGATATACGCGTTCAAAAGAAACAGACCTAACAAAAGAGGAGATGGAGTTGCATTATATGTAAGAAATCACTACATCTCTATAAAAATACACAAAACCAAGAATGAAAACCTCCTAGAGTGCATATGTGTCAATATAAAAGGAAAAAAGAACAACATTGCCATAGGTATATACTACAGGCCACCCAACCAAGCAGAAGAAAAATATGAATTTTTGCTAACCAGTATGTAGGAAACACACCACAGTAGTAATGTGGGACTTTAACTACCCTGACATCAACTAAGAGACAAACTGCATCAAGTGGGAGATTGAACAGCTTCCTGACCAGTCTAGCTGACAACTTTGTCATCCAAAAGATAGAGGAGGGAAGTACAGAGACAGCTATACTAGACCTATTTTGTACTAACAGAGAAGAAGTGATAGAAGGATTGAAGTTGCCAGAACTTTGGGGGAGAGAGACCATGTCATATTAGAATTCAATATAACACAAACAGTAGAACATAAAGCAGTGTCTTAAACCAGTGGTCCCTAATCTTTCCAGCTTGGTAGCCTGGCCTGGCACAGTAGTGGGGGAGGGGGGGACGGTTCTGTTGCGTGGCAAGCATGCATATGTACACACAGCTTATTTGTGTGAGCGGCTGGCATATATGTGCACCAATCATGAATGGAGCTTCACATGCAAGTGCCTGCTGCTTGCATGAGTGGAGCTTTGTATATGAGTGCAAGTGCCCACAGCTCATGTGAGTGGAGCTTTTGGTACACTCTCACCCACTGCTTGTGCCAAAGGGCCATAGCCCGGTAATGGACCACAGCCTGGGATTTTGGGACCCCAGTCTTAGACTTTGGAAGAGCTGGTTTAACAAACTTAGAGAGAGCTTGGGAAGGATTCCATTCATGAAAATCTTAAGGGGAAATCCACTCAAGAAGTTTGGGAAACTCTTACTTACAAAATCTGTTCAACAATTGTGGTCTGAATACTGTTGAACCCCCAGATCTGTGTACATGGGTTGAGTCTATCTCTGAACATCTTGCTCAAGAGGAGGTCTTGAACAAGATTGAAAACTTCACTATTCTCAGGAGGAAGATTTTGAGCATATTTGTTAAACATTTAATGTGGAAAAATCACAGTAAACCCAGCATCCAAGGGAATATTGAAAATAATCATTACAAGTCTTGGAAATGCAAAAGATTTGTTAGCAGGGTTTTAACTGCAATGTAGCACTTTCTACTATTCTATTAACAATATTGCAGAAATCCTTTTAACACCCAATGAAAGAATAAGAAGATATTTTGAAGTTTATGTGACTTTAAGAAAGCCTTTTCCCCCCCTGGGCGTTATTAAGTTACATAACACTTAGGTAAAGGATGTTTGTGAAGGAAGGGTAGGCTGTTAACCGTATCATTTACATTATTAATGCATCTGTTTCTGAACAGGTTTAGAGCTAATTAGTACTCCTGAAAATTGGACACATCAATGTAATCTATGCAGAGTTTTGATTGTATTCTACCTTGTAAGAGAAATGTCAAAATTGTTGTATGGGGACACATACTCCAAACTTACAGTTGTTAGTTAACAGTGATCCATTTTCCTAAATTCACTCATCTGCTTACTAATGGCTTACTGATGAAAGCTTAATTGGTTTGGTTCTTGTGTAATATTCCAAAATTTAATCAGAATCAACAAACCAATGAAAAATTGTATTTTAATGAGCAGTCTGTACGGTTATTTCCCCCTAATTCTTTGATACATAACCACACAATATGGTTGCGACACTTGCTAAGAAAGGGAGAGGTGATCTACCTTCTTTCTCATTTCATTCTTTGCCAAAAGCTGGATAAGAGAGAAGGCCAGAAAGGCCTTCAGCAAACCAACCATTAAACCCCAAGGTTATTCAGGCCTTATATCATTTCTGGAGGATAATCTAAGCCTACCAGATCAGAACTGCAAAAATCTGATGATTACTAGGTAGTGGCAAAGAAATCTAATCCTTGCTTTAGTGTTTTATTAAATTCTATCATGTAAAAGAAAATGTGGCAGGTTTGGGTTTTTCCTCTAAAAGCTTAAAAGAAAACACCAGGAATATTACTCTTTAGCCTTATTCTCATGATACACATAAATAGATTGGGGAGGGGGAGAGATAAATTGTAAACTGTCACTTGATCCAGTAGATTTAATCCCCCCAAAATCCAGTCATACACAAGGTACCCCCAGACTCCCACACAGTTATGCATTGGCCCATTTGAAAATGAATTGACCCAAAGAGATAGAAAAGATAGAAAAAGCCATGGTTAGCATTTTATCAGACAGAAGTGGAACCCAAAAGGCACTGAATATATCCTGCATGCTTGCATAAAAACCAATCTTTTCCGTCAGAATGCTTGAAGTCATATCTGTGAAAGCACATGTGGTAATGAAAGCAAATGAAGGAAGAAAAAACAACAACCTTAAAGTAGCATCACTAACTGATTGTGAGACTGAATCTCACATACTGTACTTCCAAAGTTAACTAAAGAATATTGGAATATGGATACAATCATGGCACTCAAAATCCCAAATATTCCCAAATATAAAATAAAAGCTTTCTTCTGTTTCAAGTTCACTCTGCCCCATAATAGTTATAACTAGCTTCTCCATTAATTATGCAAGGGAAACAACCAGTAAATAGTCTTCTTGCTATCAAATCTCATAGTACAATACTAAAAAAAACTCACCTGCCCCCTAGAGCACCATGAAGAATGGAATACATACTTCTCCTAATCCTAGTCCATGCACATAAGAAATGACAGAAGACCTGAGACATTGTCATTATCTACCTTGGGAGTCTCCAATTTTGGCAGCTTTAAAACTTGTGGACTTCAACTCTCAGAATTTCCCAGCCAGAAATCCTTGCTGCAGCTTGGACCATATGAAAAAAATGTATGAGAAAGCTTTCTACTAATTTGGCAATTGGAGGCCGACAAGCTGAAAGTCATGAAAATCAATTCATGAAGGTTTAGGAAGCAAGTGCAGTGTGTAGGTGTGGGTCTGGAGAGGGGAATATATTTGCTTGGAAGGAATATACAGAAAGGGATGAGTAGGAAATGTAAATCCCACATCAGCATTTCGAATGGTGCTATCTTTAGTGAGTTTTTTTTCAAATTAATCTCCTTTTTTGTTTTATATCCACTGCTACCTGCTTCACTGGTAGAGAAGAGACTACTAAGACAAGATATGTTCCTGTTGCCTGGGCTTATCGAACACTAGACATTTCTGTCTCCAGTGAATAGGTCTTTGATTAGTGTACCGTGAAAATGGTGACTTTTGACCCAATTAAGGTTGTTGTGTGCTGGTAGAAGTAGTAGTAAGGAAAATTAGCTAGTCCTTGTGTATGATAACAATGGATTCTGTTCATTGCCAATGAGAAAACTTTTCTCAACTCCTTTCTCTAAACTGTTTATAAGTAGAATTTGTTTTGCTTATTTAAAGATTCAAAAATCGGTATGTCTAATACCGTGTTTCCCCGAAAATAAGACCCTGTCTTATATTGTTTTGAACCCTGAAATAAGCTCTTGGCCCTATTGCCATGCGCTCAAAAGCCCGATTGGGCTTATTATCAGGGGATGTCTTATTTTGGGGAAAACAGGGTACTTGGTTCACTCTTGGCTGTTAACTTAGTTTCGTTCTTGGTTATAAAATCATTGTTTAATGTCTTTGTTGTGACTGCCAAAAAGAAGAAAAGCAAGAAAAGTGAGCATTGCAAAGAACCATCTTGTTACTTCATAGAGGTCTTGCTTTTTTCTTAACCATTAGTGTGTCTCTTTTCCTTCTCTTTTCTTCTGAAGAGTCATCTCTCAAGAATTTGTTATTCCAGATGGTGTTATAACCAATGGCACCTTTACTGAAAGGAAATATAACATTAAAGACAGTGCGTGATGGACGTGGAAAATAGGGCAGAAAATACAAAACTCGAGGTCTATCTTCTGATGATTCTGTTTCAATTGTGTGAGTTGTTTTCTTCATCTCTTTGGTTGTAGTTTGTGCTTTGGTGACTGGAGGTATTGTAGTTGTTACTGGAACAATCTGACAGTTGGTTTCTTGGCTGTCT